GGTGGGGGCAGGGATGTGTGTTGTGTTTTGGTTTCTTGTTTGTTTCTTTTTTTTTCCCCACAGCTGTAATACTGTATATGTCACCTTGTCTATAAATTTGATGATTTGAAAGTTTTCTAGAGATTGTATTGACAGTGGAAGCACGTCTGTCAGCAGCATGTCGCTTATTGCTACTCTTCTGCTTTTCAGCTACAAAGGCCTGGTGTAGAAGATGTGGCTGTCCTGAAAAAGGAGCTGGTCCAAGTTCAGACGCTGATGGACAAAATGACACTGGAACGTGAGAGAGAATCTGAAAAGCTGAAAGACGAGTGCAAGCACTTGCAGGCAGAGCAGGCTAACTCAGAGGTAATAGTCATACCTAAAGATGTGTGTGTTAGTTTTGCCATGATTTTCATATGGAAATGGAAAATACTAATTTTTCATAATGAAAAAGCCTCTTTTGTAACAGAATCTTCTAACTTAATAGACATGTTTCTTCATTACATTAAATTGCGTAACTTGGTCAATATCTGCCCTCCAAAAGCCCTCATGCTTTTTGTTGCAAAAGCTTTCCTTAAGACAAAAGATTATTACAAGAGCCCAATAGCAGAGGAAAAAAAACTTCTAGCAGAGCTGTGCTCTTTCCATTGGGAGAGAGAAATAGAGCAGTTCCTGTGTAGTTCGAAGAGTTGTTTCCCTTATTGAGCTACATGCAGATAAAAACAGTTGTTAATGAAAATGGTGGTTTTGGTTAGTATTTGAGTTGATATGTCTGAAAATGGATGCTAGAGTGTTAAAATGTATAATGTAGATAATAATTTGAATATTCTCATTCTTATAGGTGCTTCTTGAACTTAACACAAGATTTAAAAATCTCAATGGATATTGTAAACCAGTTTTCATTTTTGTTTTTTTTTTCTAGTTTTTACTGTCAAATGGGAAACCTTTTTACACCTGTTAATTATTGTAGGAATATTTTGTGTGTAAGGTACAAATCTGTTCTGTGCACATGTACCCCCCAATGCACTGCATAATGGCCTCCAACTGTGGCCTGTTACCCGCTACAGGAGAAAGTGAGTGACTGCCAGGCCTCACCGTGTCTCAAGGTCGAGATGTCAGGATGTCACCTGTAATCTGTTTCCAGGCAACACCACCTTAGTTTTCCTCTCTTTGTTGCTGCAGTCTAAAGTAGAAAATAAAATCGATTGTTCTCATGTTAGTTTTATGGGGATTTTTAATATTTTTTCTCCATCTTTTCCTGTATTTGCACTTTTTAAATTCATCCCATTTAAAAAAACCTCACTGTCTTCTTGAGCTGCAGAATATGCTAGTTTCTTCAGAAGTACTTTGTGAAGGCTTGCCTCTGCTTTGACTGAGTTGGTGGAAGGTGTTTAAATTGTTGGTGGGAGATTTGTGATATTAGCTCTTTTTCTGTTATTGTATATAGAATTGATGACAACTCAATGTTTAAGGAAGCAAAACTAACTGCCTCTCCCATAGCAAATACTCGGTTTTCTTGGTTTTGGTTTCTCTGCTTTTGCACCAGTCAATGCTTCCACTTCCATGCAAGATGGAGACAAAAGGATGTAACAGCTCTGACTTGGAACTGTCTTAGATCCCTCCTGGCTAACACTTGTTTGATCTCTGACAGAGATAATGACCTTTTTTAATAATCCTAAAAAAAAATACAGTATCACCAAAAAGGCTTTTATCTGATATATGATTTATTCTACTGAGGAGTTAGTAAATCCATACCCGTGGAAGAATTCTCTTGGTGGGTGTTGTCACATCTCACTAGTAGGTTGGATGGTGTAGTTTTACTAAAGAATGGCTTGACAGCGTAATGATCTTCGCTGAAGACTGTCAGCTGTATTTGAGACCTTTTAATTTTGCCTTCTGCCTGTTCTGTTGTCCCCCACCAATGCAACAATGCCAGCAAAACTTGTCAATGCAGGGCTGTGGTCTCTAGTGACGTGGGGTCCTTGCAGAATTCCTCAGCTTACATGAGGAAACATCTAGAGTTTCTGAAAGACTCCTAGTATCCTCTGTCCTGTTGAGATTTATGGATGTGAAGGATTCCTGACATCTTGTTTTTCTGGGGTTTCATGTGCCCTAGATTTCAGAACTGCAATTTTAACTGTTTCTTCATTTGCACTGCGGAGCTTTAGAGGAGTGCTGCCTGGCATTTTTCTAAACTCCTTCAGGCTTTCTCTCATGCCTTTCCCCCCCAACAGATATGTTGAGCTCCAGGAATTGTACAAGGGTACAGTATTGTACTGAACATGAATCTACCATTGTTTTCGAGTTAAAATTATGTGTGCCAAGAGCTTCATCAGATGTGACAAAAGGAGTATCGCAGTTGGAGTTATGAATATAATGTGGTTATGTGGCCATGTAAGTTGCTGCATAATTGTAATTTGATTTTAACTGTGAGATCCCACAATTATGCTGCAGAATTTAAATTTCATTTCAAAGTACTGTTTTTGTAGTCTTTTGTGGTTTGAGATGTTTAGTTTTCATGTGAAGATAAAATGACATGGTGACATGGGTGTAACAAAAATCTTTCATCTTAAAACATTCTCACAGAAGCATGAATTGCTCCTGTTCCCTCAAATTAAGTATGTTTAAGTTTTGACATAACTAGCCATTTTAAAATGTAGCTTTAAAGTGCAACCTTCCACAGGAAAAAAAGACAAATGAAGAAGGTTTTTTCAGTCCTCCTGGAAGTAATGGCAGATGGGGGCGAAGGCTGCATGATGCCCCTAGCCGTTACTGTGAGTTCATATAAGGAGCCTTAAACATACGGAAAGATTATAAACTACATGGCAGCAATTATAATAATATCAAATGTCTGTGTAGTGTCATTAGTATGTAGGCTGAACCAGAGAAGACCAGCTTGCTGCGTGGCAGAATATGGTAAGCAGTGGCAGTCTGGTTCTTCTCAGAAATGTTACTGCCTTCTCCGCTTAATTCCAACATATGGCAACAATAGCCCAAGACATGTTTGAAATAAAAACTTTTCTGTTGATATAAAGTGACAGATCAGACCTTTTTTTAAAAAAATAAAAATTACTCAAAGTCATTGTGGTGAAAACTTTTCTACTTTTCATAGATTCATAGATTTCTAGGTTGGAAAAGACCTTAGAGATCATCGAGTCCAACCATCCCTAATCCCCATTAAACCATATCCTCAAGTAGCTCATCCACCCTAAAAAAAAAAAAAAACAACCCTTTTTTTTTTCTTAAAAAGTGTGAAAATTGTTAGCCCTAGAAAACAAGAAATGGAAGTCCTTCATTGGCAGAATGGATACAATCTTGACCATAACATTTTGGCCATGTTCCATCTCAGCTCTGCTCTTTAAGGCTACCTCAAGGACTGAAAGAGTAAAGTGGTTCTTATGCCATTCTTGGCTATTTTGCCAAACTGACTGAGGATGCATATATTAATATTGCTTTCTAAAGTGAGATGTCTTTAAAATAAGTTAGTTTTATGGTATGGGTGAAGAGAATAACAAAGAGCATCTTAACCCTATATGAGTGTCTTCAAATGCTGCAGGAGAGGGATGTGAAAAATAGTATATCTCTACAATTGTTGCCTAAATGTATTCATGGTTGTCCTTTCTCTTTTTTTTTGTTGGGTGTTTATGCCTTATTTCAGAGTTGCACCTGAAACTCCAGTGTCTAGATATCTCAGATGAATGTTCATTCTGAGATACTCCTTCCGTGTTTAGTTCCTCCCTGTAGTGACTCTGGCATAGTAAACACATTGTGAAAACAGCTGCACTGCTGTGGAGCTAAGCATTTCTATGAATCTCTGCAGATTGGGATTTGTTTCGGTATCTGGTAAATCTTCATAAAAGACGGAGTCTAGAGTTGATTGTTGAGTGCCCACAGAATAAGATTAGTAGATTAAATTATGCATAAATTTAATAAAGCCAGAACTGTTTACCACTAAGCAAAAGCATGAAAAACACTGGAATATTTGAAAACAAATTTGAGGAAATGTGTCTGCTAACAGCTTTTGTGACCTCTTATTTCTGTCTTTCATCCATCCATTTTATTTTTTCTGCTTTCTCATGGAGACATTTAAATTTGAGGTAAATTTTTTTGGAAAGCTTTTTATGGTAGATCTCTGTTGTATCAAGATAATTTCAAGAGGTTGTTAAGCAGGTGCATTCCTGTTTGCTTACTGGTTCATTAATCATACAGACACATCAGCCAGACAATGTAAGGAATGAATATTCCTCCATGGTGTATTTCCATGTTAAGAATGAAATATGGGACTGGCTTATTGAATTGTGAATGAATGAAATGTATCTTTATGCGTATAATTTACAATTCTAGTTGGAAAGGCTGCAGTGGTGTCCTTAACAAGCTTCTGCACATTTTCTGCACTATATTTGCTCAGTAGTGAAATATCCATACTGCTTTCTGAGAACATCCTGGATTCTTTTTCTGCCAAAGACAGATCCCAGGATGTGTTTTAGCTAACAGGTCTGTAATGAACCAGCCTTGTAAAGCACAGCATTACAGAAAATCAGAATTAATAACTATATGTAGTCATATAATGTGTTCATATGTTCTCTTTCATCTTTCTTTGTCTGTAGGAAGGTTGTAAATAGTATGTTTACTGTCTGCTGCTTCCATTCTATTGCTTTAGTTATTTTTTTGAATTCAGTATTTATACCTTTGTCCTGAAATCGGTGGTTATGAGAACAATAGGAATTAAAACTTCTGTAAAAAGCTCACTATTAACATAGTGTATTTAAAGTGAGTGCATTCATATGCAGCATGCTTTAGGGCAGCCATTGTTACCCATCTAAATTGCTCTTCTTCTTTGCTTTCTTTATTCAAACACTGTACAGTCATTGATATATTCTGTTTTCTGCCAATCCTGTTTAACAAAGTAGTGTTGTTACCCTGATTATGCTGACCTGCAGGGTTGATATGTCCAAAAGTCACACACCAGATTGGCTTCAGATGCCAGACTCACTTCTAGTGCCTTCTCTAGTATATTTCTCTTACCAGGGAGGCAAAGCTTTTGGCCGCTTAACTGCAATGACTTGGGAGGGTTTCACCTTGAGCTAGAACCGTGGTAATGATTAATGGGTAATCTGTTGTGATTTTCTTCGGTTGTGGGCTCAACCTGGAATTTTCTATTGGACTGGGGAAAATTTATGTCTTCTGAAATAGGACATGAATGAATCTCAGCTGGGAAATTAGGCTCGGTGGTATTTCTGTAGCTGATGGTGCTCTAACATGAGATTGCAGGTGTTTTTTTTTCTTAAGCTGTTTATTTGTATACAAGATGCTTTTAATTTTGCTACTAGACATCTTGCTTTTGTTTGGGTTATGCATGCAAAGCTTTGTTTTAAATGTGGATTTTTCCTTTTGTCTGTTCAGGCTACCATTAATCAGTTAAGAGCTGAACTTGCCAAAGGACCTCAGGAGGTAGCTGTGTATGTTCAGGAGCTGCAAAAACTACAGAGTTCAGTCAAAGAGCTAGAACAGAAAAACCAGGTGAGAATGCTGTTATTTCCTATTCTTGTCGGTTCACATTAAAATGGAAACACATCACACATTGGCTTGGGAAGCACTGAAGACTGTAACAAAACACTTCTTGGTGTTATAGAAGTTGAGAATTCCTTTGCCATTTTGTTTAACACGAGGGATGTTGTAATGTACAAGCAAACACTATCTTTTAATGATCAGTGTGTTACAACCAAAATCCTGAGGGCTGTTGTTATTGCAGCTTTCCAATTGCTGCAGTTTATGCTTACCTACCTATTATTAAGCAGTATTGCCATCTGACCTATTAAAAGAAAAAGCAGTACCCTTTGAAATATTACAATATTTGCCTAAAAATTGTAATTCAGAAGACATTTTGAGCTCTCTTCATTGGTTTTTCAGTTTCTTAGCTTTTAGATTGTGCTGCTGTTGTATTTTCTGACCATTTATCAGAGTCGTGAATGATAGAAAATAAACTCCAGGAGCTTCTCATAAGTATTCCTCGAGAGCTTTTATCAAAGCCCTTTGAGCTTGCTGCATTTTGTGTTTGCATTAAGAAAGCATGTGTTGTGGGGTAATAAATGGAGGTAAGGGAGGAAAGGAGACAAGGAGAAAGATGCATGCTGCTTTTGGTTGTGTGTATATATAACACCGTATATGAACTGTACATGTTATGTATGTGTATTTACCAGAAACCTTGTCAGTCTTGGAGGACAGGGACCAAACTATGTGTATTTAGTGTAATCTAATGTTGAAGCAGCGGTTGCAAAGAGTATAAGAAGGTGCAATTAAAATTCAGTAAATTAAACTTGCCTTTAGTAGGATGACTCTTGGTTTGGCTTATTAAATCAGAGGCAGAACTGAGATGGTGAGAATTGGCATGCTGTTCTTTTCCGCAGACCAGCAACATTGAAACAAGGTTTTGGCAAAATCATTGCTATACAGTATAGAGCCCTTGCCTGAATATATTGCTATTCCATTAACAACATGTAGTGAAACAAATTGATGCATAAGATAACCGTACTTTAAGAGAGAGTCCTCTGCTATGTCAGGTTAATGCCGAACACCACCTGAGGGATAGGAAAAAAGGAAGTAGAAGTGAGCTACTTTTCCTCCTACAGTTTTAGTGACTTAAAGCAGTTTGAAGCCACCTCTTTATGCAGCTTTTTGAATGGCGATATCCATAAACATGGTATGCTAGCCAAGGAATTTTGTCCCTGGAGGACTTGGACTTAGAACCGGAGAAGGTGAACCTAGCTTCCCAAATAACAGAAATTGCTCCTGCTTCGAACAGTTTGCCATTCTTGAAGAAACTTAGGGAGAAGGGAGGAGTCATTAATGCAGGGTAGAATATATTGCATCAATGTGGGAAGATGTTTCTGTGCATTGACGCATAGTTTTTCAAGCTCATGTACAACCTCAAGCAAGCAAGCTGTTTCTTATGTTTTCAGGAGCTGTACTGAGAAGAGCAGATGACAAGTAGATAAGATCAGTTCTCTGAGACCAGCAGGAACTGCCTTTCCTTCATTTATAAAGCACTGTAATTATAGGCCTTGGCTTGCCTTGCAGAGGCCAGTAATGGCCTGTAGCCCAGAAGAGACCTAGTGTATGAAAAAACAGCATAAGACTTGCTGTAATTCTAAACCCATTGCATGAGGGCTTTTTGTTTGTTTTCTTTTCAGAAAATTGTGGTGTATTATCTACAGGGAAAAATGCTTAGTTTGCAACCTTCTGCTGATGTAACTATTCTGAAATTTGATCAGTGACCACAGAGTTTGTTCTATACTGCCTGGCCACTGTCACTACTAACATGTATTATTTGTATTTTTCCAAGGAGCAGTTATCAAAGAAGGGATCAGTGTGCTGTTGCCCCTTGTTTCTTGTGAGCTTCAAAGGCTCAAGGCTCTTTGTTGAGTGCTGTAGCAGCATACTGTCGTCCCCTCTTTTTTTTTTTTTCTGTTGAAATCAAGGCTTGGGGAAGAGAGGTGGCTCGTGTGTGCCCACATATCCCTTTATATATCTAGGATGCAACTGGGACGTGCATCCAGGTAGGAAACACTGCTTGGTCCACTGATGAAACCTGAAAGACTATAGGTTGGCAGCTGTGGCCTCGAGTCTCCTTGTGGGCTTCAGTCACACATGGAGGTACCAGACTGTTGGGCAAACTCAGCTCTTCTCTTGTAAAAGCAGCAGCAGCTGTTTGTGGCTCTGTCCGGCCATTCATGACTGCAGAAGGTGTTCAACTGTCAGGGGCAGTGGCTTTAAACACTGCTGTTCATTGTCGTATTGCTCTTCAGAGGGGGAAGAGAGAAGAGTAGCACAGAATGTGGAGCAGCATCTCCAACCATGTGTAGCTGCTGCTCTTGACTGTCCTTTGGATAGCTCGTGAGGTGATGGTGAAGAGACTTTGCTTCTTTTTTGTTTCACATAGCATTCCTGAAAGCTTCCCAGAGTCTCAGTCTGCTTCAAGACAATGTTAACTGTTTCTCTTTCTTTTTTCCTTCCCCCCTGGCAACTTGAAAATTTAAGTTAGTGCCCTGCGCTAACTCTTCACAAAGTAGGCCATAGCTGTTCTACATGTGACATGTGGATCTAGTTATGAAGCAGTAGTAATATTAATACTTCAGTTCTAACTTGCCAAACTATGATGAAAAAGGTGCTGTAGTGCGTTGGTATTTCAGGAACACGTTTCACTGTGAATGTTAATGATCCTGCCTGGCCCTTCCTCCTTAATGAAAAGGGAATCACAACTTTTTCTGAGGGTGAAACCTTTTCTAAAAGCAGTGGGAGCCTTGCCACTGGCTTCAGGAAGATAAAAATGACACCTTACCTCAGTATGTTCTTTATGTGCTCTATTCCTGCATTTTATATGTGCCTATATAAAACCTTTTACATACCTGTAACAGCAACAAATTATTTTATTTTTCAAGAAACATTTCAAAATATACTACTTCAGGGCTAGAATTCAATAGCCGAACTTTAGTCTTGAGCCAGAATTTTTGGCTAAGTCATATGCTTATAAAGTATATTTTTTTTTAAGTGGAGACATAAGGCATTAATTTCATTTGTTCTCCCCTGGCTTGTTGGACTGCTAGAGTTGTGATTTGAAAGCTTGCGTCTTTTCTAACCTCTTTTTTTTAATATATTTTTCTGTTTATTTTATCATGATTGTAAGATAGAAGTGTCTATATATGGTATATAATGACCAATATAGTCATAATTTTTAAAATCTGTAAAGAACAAAATTGTTCAACTTATTTGAATAATTTTACAGCTTTTTCTTCTGGAAAAACAGATGTCATCCCTGGATACTCTGCAGAAGTGAGCTTTTAAGATGCCCAGCATAGCTAGAATTGCAGCACTACCTATCTTATCTTTGGAACAGTGTTATTCCAAAGTTGCAGAACTGTCTAAAGTTTTGATACATAAGACTGACCTCAATGTTGGCATTTTTTCAGGCTGACATGCTAGAAGTGTTCTTTATTTTTCTATGTTTTAGTTGAAGAGGTCACTAGAGAATACAGTAGTCACTGAAACTGCGGGAAGAATGCAAGCATTTAAAAGGTGTGCATGGTAATGCTCCACTGAGATAGATATCACTAAGATGCTACAATAAATGGAACCTGTTGGTACCTGTCAAGAAGATGGAATGAATTACCTGGCTTGGACAATGACCAGGGCCTCCCTGTAACTGTATTTCTGTGCTTCAAAAAGTGCCACTGGAAAATCAAAATGGTTCTCATGGCTGTTTTGTCCTGCTTGGAGCTCTCTGAAATTCTAGTTAGTGCCTCAGGGAAGGCTGGGGGAAACCCCAAACATTCTGGAATTACATGTTGTTCATTAAGATATTTAATTTCTATCTGAATATAGTTTTGATTAGTTCATGAAATTTAATAAAAAGCATTATGTAATAGCTGAAAATTATCTGTAAATAATTCATTTTTCAGTGTTTGTCTCAGTGTGTAAATTTGATAATATGACCTTAGACCCTGTAACATTTACTGTTGTTAATGTGGTAAGAAAAATCTGATGCTCAGAGATGTTCGTGTCTTTCCTTTAGGGAATCCCAATTTTTAGTGTTTTCAAACTCAAAGCAACCATCCTCTTTGAGCTGATTTGTAAGCAAGGAAATTAGATGGTATGAATTAAAATGTAAGAACATTATCTTCTAAAATGAAGGTTGAATCATGAGTGTTTCATTCTGTGGTTTATCAACATCACAAATTTTATTAGTTTTCACAGGTTCTCTTCATAATTTGGATAGCGGGTCATGCTGTAAGTATAGTGACAGGGCAAAATTAGGGTTCTTCTAAAAATGACTAGCATGATGATTGCCCAGGATTAGACAGGAATTAAACCTCAAATGTTGTTGCTTAGGGAATTATGTGAAGCACAACGATACTTGAAAACTTTTTCTGTATGCTAATAATTCGAATTACTATTTCAACTTTTCCCCAAGGAAATGCAATTGTAATAACCTGGAATTTGAATGTTCGGGGAAAGCAAATTAGTCTTCAGGGTACAGAAATAGAGTTTGTGTGTGTTCTCAGTAAGGGAAAGTGTATTTATGTGAGAATATGAAAAACAGTGTTTCCAGTTGAAACTGTGTGCTGTATGGGCTCCAGAATTCATTTGTGTAATACAAAATAGAGGTCAATATTTCCTTTAATAATGTTTTCGAGCAAGTTCTTCACCATTCAGCATCAGTGCTTGAGAAGAAATTTGAATAATGCATTGAACAGCTGTAGAGCAGAATTACACTTGAATTGCTGTGTAACTCTCTTCATAGAGTCTGACTGAGAAGCTGCTGAAGAAAGAACAGGACTACACCCAACTAGAAGAAAAACACAATGAAGTATCTGTGAGTAAGAAGAACATCCAGGCAAGCTTTCACCAGAAGGACCTGGACTGCCAACAGCTTCAGGCAAAGCTGTCTGCTTCTGAAGCCGCGATACAGAGATTACAGACAGAGCTAGGTGAGAAGGGGGAAGCAAGCCAGAAACTTAAAGAAGAGTTGTCCGAAGTAGAGACAAAGTACCAGCATCTCAAGGCAGAATGTAAACAGCTCCAGCAGCAGAGGGAGGAAAAAGAGCAGCATGGCCTGCAACTCCAAAGCGAGCTCAGTCAGGTAAGGTTCCTTAAACCTCCTAGATGATCCTATTGGCATTTCCTTAAACCATCCCATCAGGATTTTAAACTGTGCATGCGCATCTTGTACGCACATGCATTTGCATTTCCTTATTGAAGGGGAGTGGTTAATCAGTACTTGTATTTGAATAAATATAAAGCATTCCTCCTAACACTGCAGAGAATGAAATACAATCACATCTTCCCCTTAGGGAGAACAGGCAAAAAGAAGAGCCTGTGATAATAGTGCAGAAACTTTTTGATATTTGTATATAGTTACATCTGAACCTTTTCAGTAGGTCCAAACTCTTGTCAGGAGCAAGTGAACCTAGTTGTAGCCCCTGTGTTGCAATCAAACTCAACAAGATCTACAGTTACAATGACTTTTACATATTTTTATTTCTGGGAATGTCAGTCTAATATCTGTCTATCTGTAGTGTAATTCCCTCTTTTCTGATAAGTAAATGTCTTACTAATTCTGTTTAGTCTGGAACTCTTGTCTAGAGCTGTCTTTATACTTTCAGTTTTGAAGATCAAGGTTGAACAAGCATAAACTTTGTAGCTTATTTCTCATATTCTGACTTGAGGGTTTTTTGTACATGAATAAAAAAGGCTTTAGCTAACCTGAGACAGGTTTTTTTGACTACTCTTTTTCTCTTAAAGAGTTAAATGAGCTCTTCCTTCATCCTGCATTTTTCCTTTCCTCTTTTTTTGTTGTTGATTCATTCCCTGAAAGAAGGGAAATATTGTCAAGTTAGAGAGCAACCAAGAACATCGAGTTTCCGTGACAAATATGGTAATAGACAAATTCTAAGAAGTTAGCAAGATTATTTATTCTGGTTCAGTAAGGTAGTTGAAGCTAAAATGAATCCGGGTTATGAGAAAAACAAATTCAGGTAAGAGTATCAGAAGTAGTTTCACTCCTACTAGTGATTTTACTGTTCTACAGAAAGGTTGAGAAAAGTGAATCTTTGTTTTACATTAGAACTGAACTGTGCTTGATTTGCTTTAAAATTGAATAGTAAGTACAGTAGGGAATACTTAGTGTGAAAAGCAGGGATAATATGGAGTCTTAATATTGCTTCCTTTGTAATCTCTTCACAAACACCTTCTCTTTATGTTGCTGAGAACACCCAGAGCATATGTTCCCCCCACCATTTACATGTTGTTCTGCTGAGTCCAATGAGTTGTGGAAGCAGGACTTTGGTGTAACATTGAGCATACTGATACTTGAGGCTGGTTGAACTCTGTTCTATCTAGTGTCTTGGGGAGTAATGTGTTAGACTGAAGAAATATTTGTGTGTCAGGAGTGGTGTCCAGTCTTAAGATGGAAAAAATAATCTGTTTTTTATCACATTTTTTGATGTATTTCATTTTAATCTCTCACTAAAGCTTTATCATTTTAAAGTGAGTGTTTCTCAATTTTCAACCCTTTGTCAAGTCTGAAAGAGATTAAGTTGCAAGCTGTGCGTGTATAGTTTGTCTTGGAAGAACTGTGCCTTGGCAAAACTTCATGTATGTATGTATTCCATCCCCAGAATGACTTTCCTTCTCCCATCAGTCTTCTGTCAGAGGGAGGGAAGATAATTATGTTATTTATCTGCTTAGGAATCCTCATTTGGTAAAACTACCTCAGTCTGCCTAGGCAACACGTTTGCAAGCTTCAGAAGCACAGCCAAGAGGTTGAGCTGAAATCTGGCGTCCACCTGAGAGGGCGTTTTCAGGAAGGATTCAGGATGGGAAAATGAAGGGGGAGGAAGGTGTATAATGCATTGCTGAATGAATTCCTATGAAAGGAAATGGAGGCATTGCATATTCTCTGGTGTTACCATTGGGAAGGAAAACAGTCTAAGCAAGGAAACATGAACAAGCTGCTGGATCTCAGGATGTGTTTTGGAATTGTGTTGTAAAACAATAGCAGAGGGCAAAAAGCCTTTCACACATGGTATAAAATGAAATTGAAGCCAAGCAAAATCTTCTCTTCCTCTCTCTCCCTCCGAACAAGAGTTCAGTTACTGTTGTCCTGAAAAGACTAAATTTCTCGTGTTTGTCCACTTAATACTTCAATGGAATTATCTTTTTATGCAGGTAGTCCAGTAGCTTATGTTGACACAATGAATGCTGCTTATGAAGGTATACGTATAGGTGTTTAGTCAATTTCAGAGAATCCTTGCCATCTTCTTCAAATTCATTTAAACACATGCAGACCTGATTAAGTTTAGATGTTTTAGAATTTGGGTGATGTGAAGGAAGTGATCTTCACAATGGAAGGAAGCTTTAGTGATAATATTGGTTCCAGCACAGCAATAGGAAGAGGGTAAGACAAGAAAATATGAGGTCCTTCAGTCTTGAAGAAACGTTAATTGCTAATAAATACTGTTGTCGTTGAGAAAACTTCAATCTACTTGGATGTATCTTTGAAAGTCTAAATATTATTATTTTTGTAGCTAAACCTATAATTTTTTATTCTGTGACATAGGTTAATCCTGGATTTTATGGTTCTGTTTATTTAAAGTCAGTACTAAAATCCTTCAAAAATACTTGGCTGTGCCTGTAATAAAAGTGACTTTTGCAAAACATTGCTTGCTGATTCTACATTTTCCAGTATCAGCATAATCATGAATTCTGTAGTTTTCTCGTTGCACTCTTTCTTCGTTATTTTTTTTTTTTCCTGAGCTCTTGTTCATATTTTTGGTGAGGAAGTAATAATTTAGTGGTTCCTGCAGAAGACGACAAAAGTTCTTGATTATTGGTCTTTCCTTGCCCTGTCCTCTGTCTTTTCCTACCTCTCTCTTAACTGTGAAGTCTCAGTTATCAATCAGCATCTCAGTCACAGGCCGAACAGCTTTTCATTCACAGTTTTTGTGGTTGTGGACATATAAACAAATAATTTAGCCTAGTTTCCTAAGAAAATAAGGCAGACACACATTTGTCTATGCCCATCTCCTGCAACTTTTGTGTTGTTTGATAGCTTCAGTCACATTTTGACAGATGGTCCAAAGGTCTTCAGTGTTAGCTTCTTCAGTGTTAAATTTTTGTGGAAACAGGGAACCAGGTAAGGGAGAGAGACTTATGTTCATGCCTCACCCCTTCCATGCCTGGGAGGAAGATTTAATGTTACTAAAAGCACCGTTTCTTTTTCCGTCCTGCAAGGCAGCCAGCCTGGTCTACAAGTGATGGCTTGCAGTGAGCAACAAGGTCATGCTGCCTTTTGTCTAGATATTAGTAGGGATTTGAGGAAAGTATGAAAAAGGTTTAGAGATATCAAAGGGAGGACCTGGAGGTAAAAAGAGAATTGTTCAAGGGTCTTGGACATAAATTCATAGGAAAGCAAGCTTTGTCTATCCTGATACCTCTAGAAAGCTCTTGCTGTGCTGCAAGTCCTGATACATTCTCTGTTTTTGCATTGAGTTGAAAGTTCATTTGTGTTATCTGTGAATGTGTTCATGTAGAAGTAGGCAGGAGGTGACCCAAGGCAGTTAGTGGCAGTTTCAAATAGAAGTACAGCTGATTTTTATGGAGAACGCTTTTTATAACAGTGAATAGTAAAAGGCCATCCTTGCACTTTGAAGATGGTGCAGTACTGCTTTTGATGACTGAAAAAATTATAAGGCAGGCTTATGTCCAGCTGGAAGAGCACATCCCCCTACTTACTCTCTGCTGCTGGGAGGTGCTGGACTATAAGCCACCAAGACCATTGTGTACCCTACATTGAAGGTTCACGCATCTCTTCTCCGCAGAGAATGAATGCCATTGATGTAGCCAGTTCAAGCTAAAAATACGCTTTCGCTAGTCTAGCAATGCATAACAATGTATTGTGGAAGCCCGTGGAGCAGGCAAAGGCACGGTGCTTCAGCTGCTGAATCTACAGGAGGGAGGGTGTGTGCTGAGTAAGATGAGATTGCTCTAAGCTTCACTATTTTACGTAATAGTCCTTCTGTCTTTGAAGAATTGCCCTCTTTGTGTTTCTGTTAAATCTCTGTAACTCATATTGAAGGGCTTTTATAGATAAATGAGGATATTTCTGGGTCCCTCCCACCTACTTTTTTGAGTATTCGTTGATGCTTGTGCAGTTGATGCTGTTCTTTAACATGATTTGTGTTTCTGAGGTGTATGATGTACATGCATGACTTCCGGAGCTCATGTAGTTGTTTTACTCTGAGTTATTAAAACCTAGGGGAAACACTGCACGAAGTGAGTCTAAAATACAGCACCATTGACTGAAGAATGACTAAAAAAATGGATGACTTTTTATTTATTTTTTTTTACAGTTGCACAGTAAACTTCTAGAAACAGAACGTCAGCTGGGGGAAGCACACGGGCGGCTCAAGGAGCAGAGGCAACTGTCTAGTGAGAAACTGATGGACAAAGAGCAGCAGGTGGCCGATCTGCAATTAAAACTTTCTCGTGCTGAAGAGCAGGTAGGGACTTTTATACAGACTCTAGTTTGCTCTGGTTCTGATAGTAGCCTGTATATCCACTTGTGGTGGTGTTGCAGTGTCTAAAGTTTGTCCTTATGGGAATGTCATTTGACTAATACTGTTAAAGTCTTATGGTAGAATTGTCAAAATCTGCCAAAAAGCCACTTGCATGACAGGTTTTGTAAGGCTAAATGCTCACTGGATGCATGTACGTTCATGGTGCTTTACAGATGAACAAAAGATGTGCTTTTGCACTTAGGAGCTTTGTCTAAGGACCTTACGAAAAAAAGACTTAGGTGCACCTAAGCTCATGTGGGTAGGCTTTTGTGTGTAGATGTTTTTGTGAGATAAAGCCCTACATGAAGAAAAAGTGAACATGGCACAGCAGGTCATTGATAGTTAATAATTGTGTAGGGCGGATGGGCAGAAATCACATATTTCATTATTTTTTATTTGTTTTAATGAGCATCTTGTATATGTTGCTGATTTTCTGCTGCCTGTATGGGGATTGGCCAGATATCTGAGTGGTATGTTGTCAAAGCTTTTAAAGCTTTTCTGTAGCTAATTTGCAAGTCCTTGACCGGTAGAGAAGTGGAGAGATTGCTAAACCGAAGTTGCTACTAAAACTGCTAATAATAGTGATAATAATGTTGGTTTACAGGTATCTTATCTATGTTGTCAGTCATGTCACATCTTAACAACTGCTGGGAAAAACATACTAAAAATCTCTTATGTTTTAGATTTTTGAGACTTAAAATATATATATGTCTCATAGTTGTTTTATCATTCTCACTTGCGATACAGAATCTCACCTATTAATAGTAACGAATGCTTTGGTTAGATTTTGATTCTTTAACTAGCGTCACACACTTTTATTTTTATACATTTTCAAATATTCATGTTCAGAGTAAAATCTTTTAGCATTAAAATGAACATGGAGCACTATTGGCATACTGAATAGTGCTTGTTCACTCCTCAGTCTGGTTTTTTGTTTGGTTGGTTGTTTTTTGTGGGTTTTTTTTCAGCTAAAGGAAAAAGCAACAAATTCCACAGAACTGCAACATCAATTAGATAAGGCAAAACAGCAGCACCAGGAACAGCAGACACTTCAGCAAAATACTACAGCAAAACTACGAGAAGCCCAGGTAATATAGTTATGTATCCTCATGTGAAAGTGTATTTCAGGATTTCTTTAGTTTAAATATATTTTCTCTGTAAAAACAACTTGCATGACTTATACTAGTTTCCATAAATTAACTTATAAATGTGGAACAGAATATACAGAGAGTGTTTAATAAATTTATCCAACATTTTATGCATTAGGAATAACTTCTAAGGTCCCTATAATTAAGGAAGGTGTTATGCGATTTTCTAGAATGATTTGGAGCAAGTACTACGACAAATTGGAGATAAGGACCAAAAAATTCAAAATCTTGAGGCTTTACTTCAAAAAAGCAAAGAAAACATCTCTCTGCTAGAAAAGGAAAGAGAGGACTTATATGCAAAAATTCAAGCTGGTGAAGGAGAAACTGCAGTTCTTAACCAGCTGCAAGAGAAAAACCATGCATTGCAAATACAGGTAAGAACTCAGACACTTGTTTCTTTTCTCTCATTCTCATTATTGACTCGTTTCCTTTTTTTCTGCTTATCAGATATGACGTTAACCTTTTCTGTAGTTTGCTGTTTCTGTGGTACTTTAAAGATCTCACTGTAAATTTCACAGGACTTGTGTTTTGGTGAGTTCTTTGCTATCAGCATAGGTGAAGGAATTCCTAGATGTTTCCTATGTGTATATGTTAGTAATACGTGCTTACAAATAATTTTTGGATACATATACGTATTTGTTTCTCTTATTTTAAAAAGAGTTTTAATTCCTGCTTTCAACACCAAAATTCAGTTTAGCCTGCATCTGTTGTCTCCATAGTATTTTGGTTTTCTTACAGTAAGGCCAAATTGACGATTCCCTTTTGCTTCCATTTTCAACTGGTAACTTATTTAAACTCTGGTATGGTGTATAATACAGCTGTACTGTCATAGTTCAGAAGAAATGTGATAGTGTTGAGTCTCCAAAGCCATGATAAGATACGCTAAAATTCAGAAGATTTATGACTTCCTTGGACATGCTGTTCCAGCCTTCTCTTTTACTTGTCTCTTTTTTTTTTCACTGCAGGTAACTCAGCTGACAGAGAAGCTGAAGAATCAATCAGAAAGTCATAAACAGGCCCAAGAGAATTTGCATGAACAAGTGCAGGAGCAAAAGGCACATCTAAGAGCTGCTCAAGACCGTGTTCTTTCCCTGGAAGCAAACATCACTGAACTAACCAGCCAGCTAAATGAAAGTAAAGAGAAAGTATCACAACTTGATGTACAGGTAATGGAACTCTGTTCTGTCTAATGATGATAAATCCTGCTTGTGATTTCTATATTCTCTCCAGAGAATGTACAAAGCAATTTGGGAAAAATTGCATATTCTGCTAACAGTAGAATAATGCAGATAAAATTGAGGAAAATGTAAGTGGATTCAGAATAGCAATAGATGGCAAGTGTTGCTTTTTGGTTTTGTCTATATGTTTTTTGTTGGTTTTTAATTAAAAAACCACTAAAGTTCTTAATTGAGTTGGGAAAAGTCGTCCTCAAGCATCTCTTGTTGTATTTGTAATGATTAGCCTTCCAAAACCCTGCTCTTACCAGTCCTAGGTTCTCTGCACCAGAGTGAAAGTCTGTCAAGTCACTAAGATCTTCTTGTTGCCTAGAAATTTCTTGTGCTGGTGACTTTTATCAAAAACAAAACAAAAAGCTGCATGCCACCTTTTTGTCAGTTTAATTTACTAAACAAGGAAATTCCCCAGTATGGACTGAAGGTAGACTCTGCTGCTATTAAATACTGCTTAAGGTAAAAGCTGCTAATTACGTTCAGCTGTCCCGAAGAATAAATAACGTTTGATCGGAAGTTCTTTCATTGGTACACTTGGAGCAGTTAGTACTGTTGTTGGATTATTACACTGTAGTGTCTTTTGAATTAGTGTTACTCAGTTTCCAAACAGGTCTAGGAACTTCTGATATACCTTTGTGATGTTTTTACTGGGCTTCGCTACGCTATCTGAGCTGTTTTTTCACCTAGACACTAGAGCTAGAACTGAAAAAAAACTCTATGGACTGTTGGAACTGCTTTTTAAGGCAATGTAAGCTTTCCTACAGTCTTCAGAGAAGTAGCATTTCTATTAGGGAGAAAAACAGTAAACCACAATAGCAGGTGACCCTGAATGTTCCTTCTCTGCACCAACACCATTCGTACCCACCTTCTAAATTTTGTTTGCTGGGTGTTTTGGAAGGAAGGGAGGTTGCTCCCTATCAGACAGACAGGAGCAGAAAAAGATAGTATGCATGTAGAGGCATATTTTTGTTGTTTCTTATTCTTTTTGCTTTTAAAAACTTTGGAGGCCCTTAAATGGGCATGTAGTCTGAGGTTGTCAAGGTATGCATGGGTGTGAATGCAGTAAGTCTATCCAATTATTCCTTGTTACTAAGTAAAAATATTTTCCTAGAATAGAAGATGAGTGGGACTGGTGGTTGTTTTATTTTGCCTTTTTTTGCCTGTCTTTTAGCTCAAGGTAAGAAGTAACCGTGGCTCAAATTCCTGATATTTTTCTAAACCTTGAAATTTATTTGGGTTTCTTTTTTTTGTTTGCTTTTGTTTTTTTTACACTAGCACATGAAAACTAGTGATTGTACTATTAAACTTACTGAGGAATATAAAAAAGAATGTCAGCTATAGTAAAATAGATGTTTTAGTGAAATACAACTTGTCTTTCAGGTAAAAGCAAAGACTGAATTGCTACTTTCAGCAGAAGCATCAAAAGCTGCTCAAAGAGCGGATCTTCAGAATCATCTGGACACTGCTCAGCATGCACTGCAAGATAAGCAACAGGTTATAAGCAAGTTTCTTTGTCACCTAAAAAACTACTTAAACACTTAAGAATAGTCTGTTTACATACTGAACAAGCATGTGAATATACATTTCAAAATCATCGTTAAGGATATTTTAACCATGTGATATGTATTCAGTTCTTTTTGCTGTAATCTAGACCAGATATATTTTGCAGTGTAAAGAATTTACGGAGGAATCCACTCCTTGCTGTAGGATTATGATTCAGAATCCAAGCTGTCCTATTGGAGTATAATTAAATTCTCACCTGTTTGTTATGAATAAAAGATTGTAGAATACACTGAGTACAAGTGAAAACTCTTAAGTATTATTGCAGATAATATATACAGATGCCTGTATTCAGAAATAATTTTCTGTGTGTCAACTGACACAAAAAACCCCAAAAGACTATTGTTAAAATTGCATTTTTTAATGTGTGTTAACTCTAGCGAAGCATTCCACTGGCTGCTGAATCAAATAATAGCATTGTTAGAATCAGTGCTGCAGTGGTCTTCGTCGAAACATCCAGCAGGTGCTAACATAGCACCATTTTTTAGAGTGGGAATGTAATTAATTCCTATAAACAGAAGACCTGTTTTTGCAACTATTAAATAATTAATAATGAAATAAATCAGCTTGGTTGGAGAGCAATGAGTTTTGATGTAACTGTCATCATAGTGGTTACTAGGTGAATGTATTCACGTCTCTTGAGGAAATTATGTTGTTTTATGTTGAACCAAATGGTTTGAAATCATCTCTGGTATGCAGACAACTGACTGTTTCCACAGTACTGGTTCTCCTCTTTGGTGACGCTGGAGATTTCATGAAGACAGCAAAAATTTTCTGTAAGGTTTTGCAGCGTTACTTTCTAGTTACTTTTGTACTAATTGCAGGATCTAGTGCATTTATTACCTACAATTCCTCTTCAATTTATAACTTAAAAACACCTTTGTTAAGATTTAGCCCACAGACCAAAGTTTAAGAGGAGTATTGAGGCTTTAAAAGAAATTTCATCAGTTTAACAGAATTTGTGCACGTGTTTGTTTTTCCTCTCTCAATTTCCTGCAGCTCAGAAAAAAAAAGAAACCTTATTTTCCTTTTTAATTTGAACACATTAGATCATTTAAAGCATATGTGACATTAGTCATTTTTGGAAGTTATTTAAAAACTAAAAACCCTCATATTTTCATTTTACCTCAGGAGTTAAATAAGGTCAGCGTTCAGTTGGATCAGGTTACAGCTAAGCTGAATGACAAGCAGGAATACTGTGCTCAGCTGGAAGCCAATCTTAAAGAGCACAAAGAGAAACGTCTTTATTTAGAACAGAAAACTGAAGAGCTAGAGGGACAGCTTAAGGTTTGTATTGAACACAGTATCTGAGCTTACAGAAACTGATTTCTCCACTGTTTGGTAGTATGTGATAAAAGCTGTGCTCCAATTATGGGAGAAAGATTGTATCAATACCACTTTTGTAGGTTTTCTTTTTTCACTAGTGTTTCCTGATCCACCCTTTAATCCTGTTCTCATCTTCTTCCATGCTAACATATGACATTAAGAAGATAGGCTTAGAACATTGACACTATACTGTCATTTTCCTGTACCTGTGCTTCTGCTAACCTCTGTGCTTCCTGGAAAGTGTTATTAGAGGGAATATGAATACTTCCTAAAATTAGAGTCTTCAAGTTCAGCCTTGCACACTTTACAAGTAGTAGCAGGGAATATGTGTTACTTTGGTTAGCCCAAGTTAATGCTAAATGTCTGGTTGAACTTGTTACTAAAGCCTTTCAGCAGGCTTCTACAGAGGCATTTTATCAAGATTTTTTTATCAATGTTTTTCCTCTAACTTGATCTTAAGGTTTGCATTCCATTTCTGGAATCAGTTTTTCTCTTAAAGCACACATAATTCTGGCAGAAGGTTTGCAGAATCTTCCGGTATTTTGAGATACTAATATTTTTATTTAAGGATATGAATTAGTGCTAATGCTCAAGAGCTTTTAAATTTGGGCTTTAACCTTTGTTCAGTATTTGGTAAGCATTCTTGGTGGTCAAAATTCGTGATACATAAAACCATGTGATGCAGGTGTCTCAGGAGCAATGCAGAATTGGTTTTGCAGTATTGTTTGTCTGTTTTGAGGAAGATTAGTGGTCTTTATGCTCAAGACCAAGTGGAGTGTTTTCCCTAGCTTATGTGCTCTATAGAAGAGAAGGGAGGTTGTTTTCCCCGTATTAAATTTTAAATTGAATGGAATTAAAAAATAAAGCAGTGCATTATTAGTGAAACTATTTTGTACTTCCATCTCTCTCTGCTTTTGCATGCTGTTTTTTTCTGCCTGGTTTTATTTCTGTTTTTATTTTTTATCCTTTAGCTGTGAAAGCTAAAGTTTCACAAGTAACCAACAGAGACAAATGCTTGGGAGGAATACAGTGCTTGCTTGCACAAGATTTTATGAGGTTCCTGGTAGTTGAAGTGTGAAACTGAGCAGAGCTGTTGATGTTGTCAACAGGAATGCAACTCTGTGTAAAATCTTGGTGTCATCACCATTCTTTGGTTTATTCCAGTTGAATGCATGATATTTAAAAAAAAAGAAAAAAAAAAAAGAAAACAAAAAGCCCTCAGGAATTTTCTTGGAGAAACTTGGCCGTTTTGTTTTATGGCTACTGCATGAAAGCGGAAGTGCCTGTAAAACAGCCAGTGTGATGAGGCGTCTAAGCAGTGCCCATTTGCTGGAGACTCCTGTGTTCTTTATACTCCATGTAAATGAACAAGTACCTTCTTAAAACAAACTAAGAGAAACCTCTTCCAGGCAAGCTAGGATTTCTTTACAGCTGTAGTTAATGTCTTTGGTTTTGTTGTAAAGAATGGCAGAGTTCTTGGGATATGTAATTCCGCAGTCATTTGAAACTGCTGAAACTACTCGATGGTGGCTGAGAACCCGGCCCCAAAGCTGGGCACTATGTATGACCTTTTTTTGGATAGGCTCTTTAAAGACTTATGCATTTTATCTATTACTTTGCAGTAAAATGTCTGCTTGGCATTTAATTTAAAGACAATTTCAGAATGCTTCACCAAAACAGTTTACTTCTGGAGGAGCAAGAGGTTTGCAGGAACTAAATGATGAAAGATAAATAGCAAACTAATTAAATAGGTAGATGGAGTGCGAGAACTGTGACTGCTTTCTACAGTAAAGACTTTATGCAGTAAATGGTACTCACAGACTAGATGACTTCTACTTTTTATTGCTTTGTTGGTTGTGTTCTAATGGCTCTAACTTTTTATTTTTCTGTCTCAGAAACTTGAAGCTGACATTCTTGATGTTAAAGCAAGCAAAGAACAAGCTCTTCAGGAGCTACAGCAGCAGCGACAGCAATCTACAGATTTAGACCTCCGAACAGCAGAACTAAGTAAACAACTTGAAGCAGCAAGAGAAGCGTATGCGTTTCCTGTTTTATAGTACTTTTCAAAGTCAGACGTAAAACTAGAGTGGTTTGGACTGGAGTTGAAATTTTGTTCTTCTCTCCTGTGATTTCTTAAAATCATAGATAAAAGCAGTGTGTTCCCTCTGCTCTGAGAACTGAGTTATATCCCACCTGTTTTCTTTCACTCTGCATGCCATGCAGACTCCATCCGCCATGTTGTCTCATGTGGATCACTGACTACTGTGATTCAATACACTTCAGTTTATTCACTGTGCTTCTTGTCAGCTAAACAGTTTGATGTACTGAGGTCCACCTTTAAATATCCACAGCTCTGTAACTTTCAAAGACTACTTTGCAATTTATGCATAAGCAGCAAAGGGGTAGTTCCTGTTCATAATATTTGAGGAAGAAAAATCCATCTCAAAGTAGTGTTTAGAGTGGCTGGTATGTCTTCATTGGAGAGACAAAAAACCTGTGTTCTAGATGAAGAAGTTATACTTTTAAGCAGTTCTACGGTTAATATATTAAATAATAAAAACATTTAATGATATAAAAGAACCTTTGAAGAAGAATTTAAAAAAAAACCCAAACAACAAACTTTATTTTTCTCTTTCTATTTGCAGGATGTCTAGTGCTAAATTGGATTTACAGAAGAAGTCTGAGGCCCTCGAACAAGCGAAACAGCAAATTTCAAAGCAGGAGGAGGAAAAGGCTGGCCTCAAACAAAACCTTGAGAAATCAAATCAAGATACAAGTAAACAACTCAAGGAATTAGACTGTAAAATGCAAGCAGTAACATCAGAGCTGCAACAAGTGAAATTAGAGAAGGATACGCTATTAAAGGACCTTACAGCTACCAAAGACAAGCTCTCAAAAAGTTCTGAATCCTTCAAAAAAAGAAAGGAGGAATTAGAAAAAGAAATACAAAAAGGAAAAGCAGCAGTGGCAGAAATGGTTAGTAGTTTCTTTCATTGCGCATTAAGTTTGGTGTATTTACAGTCTGATGAAATGACTTTGCTTTCTGTCTGAAATCAGTGTACATACAATGACAATGCATGGAAATTAATTGCCTTAAGGAAAAACAAATTGTGATTTCTAGTTGTTCATACATGTGTCCTACCTTAAAATTTTTTGTCTGGATGTTTGTGCTGCTAAACATCAGTCTTATCACACAACAGGATCCCTTTTTCCTTGCTGCATGGCTTTAATATGGTGAAGGAAACGAGCTGGAGAAAAGTAGTGAAACAATTCGATGGGAAATGTCCCCTTTTTAAAAAAATACATCAGCCTTATTACAAGACACAGTTTTAAACCCTTTGCTAAAGTGCCACCATATTGAAAAACATGTTTTTCTGAGGCAATTTTAGTTTCTTTTATAGAGTCTTTTGTAGAGAACTTTGCTGTACACTTGTCCGGACACGCTGGAAGGCTGTGTACTGCAGGCAGAGTAACATTGTCTGTCGTTTAGTAGAACTATTTGAATTTCATAGAGGTCTCACAAGTGGTAGTACAGCAACAAATGCTTGACGACCAGAGCAGTCTATTATGGTAACAAGAGAGAACTCTCACTAGGCTTGAAACACTTTTTTTTTCTTCTTTCTTTTGTTTCGTTGGTAATGTGAATGAGCACTATATCAATACACGTTTTATAAATTTTCTTACATGGTTGTTCTGATACCCCTGCCTCAGACGTGGTAGGGCCTTTCTCGTCTTACATGTCAACATTTCCCAGAACCCGTTCATAGCTGCTTTTATTCTGATCTAAAAAAAATCCTGCTCCTAGTTAAAAATAACATTTTTTCCTTTACTCTTTCACCTTTTTAAGATAAGCCTTTTTGTTTGCTTTACTTAGTTACTGCTATTTAAATATTTGTTTCTCCTAAAAACTTGAAGGGTTTTCTCCCCAATTTAGACTTAAAGATAGGAGTCCTGGTTCTGCTTCTAATTCTGTAGTCATTTGGAGACTCACCACTGACTTAAGTGCATAGTATTTGGGCTTAAAATGTGGTATTGGCGTACAAATCCTGCAAATGTACTTGCTTGTGAGTTCTATAACATAAAGAAATTTTGGATCCTGAGGAGAGTGATGAGCCTACTGCTCCCTATGAGAAGAAGGGCTGCCAACATCAGCTTTGAACAGGGAGACTATGCCTAATCAAAAAACTTCTTTGGCATGTGCCTGCACGTGTGAAGTACAGGGTATCAGCTGTGTTCAGCTTAGATTTACCACTGTTAAAGTTTTGAGAAGTTTTTAGCTAAAAACATGTCTGCAGCTGAGAAGGAAAGCTTTTTCTCTGAAAAGGAAAGTGTTATTTTTCAAAGCTTTATAGGTCTTGCAGAAATACCTGGAACTCAGTCTTAGAAGCTCACAGAAATAATTTGCTTGTCTTCCGTTTTTTAGGAAAAATCTTGCCAAGAAGTAAAACACCAGCTCCAGGTACAAACAGAGACTGTAGCTAAAGAGAGGAATGAATTGAAAAACTCTCTGGAAAAGAAGGAGGGGGTAAGCTGTCCACTTGGTTTCAAAATTCTCTGAAACAATAATAATAAATGTTTAAAAGATTCATTTTCAGTCTCACGTGCTGGGACTGATGAGAGATAAAGAGGTTGCAGTTCTCAAATTGTAACCTGCCTGAGGCACTGAAATAAGGTGATACTAAAATCTTCAAAGATGTTAGTATGAAGTTTTAAAAAACAGGTTTTAATCCTGTCTTTCTCTGCCCCACATACCCTAGTGGGTGATTTTAGCTCTCCAGGTTTTTTCATTAGTGAAACAGTTGTTTTGTATTACCATGTCCCTTGTCCTCGATTTTTTTTTTTCATACTTACGGTCTGTGAACAATAAAAATTATTATCTCATATCCTTAGATCTGTTTTAGTCTGAGGCCTGATCAGTCTGTTCTCTGAGTGATTGACAGGACGTTTTCAGATGTCCTTGAAGGATTTAGTTGCTTTTGCAAACTTGTATAATTGCCTGTGACTGCATAAGAATCAAATGCACTTCTTTTTTAAAGATGAGCATTCAAACTACAAAATCACGTAGTCCAGCTGGCAACCTGAAGGCCAAATCCACTTTCATGGATTTCTTTACCCAAGCTGTCGTGTGTTCCCTAAAGGAATCAGAAAAGATACGATGAGTGGACACAATTTGATGAACTGTGATGGACTCTTAGTGCCTGAAAGAGGGTTTGTGGATGTACAGGTGTGCTGGTAATTGCTCTATGACTACTGCTGCTACTCCCCTGGCTCCTCTCTCGTTCAGCAGAAGCACTATGGTGCTCTGTGGCAAGTGCAGGAGGATGAGTTTGATATCTGCTGCAGCTGGCAGCAGAAGAGCCCAGACTACTGCTGGGTGGAGATTTGCCTGCTATTAATTTTTAATGGTGAAAAGGACTGCAGTTGTTCTAAGGGTAGGAAATTTGGAATAAAAAATTATTTTAATGTATTGCAGTAACTCTTAAGATCTAAATCTACTTGGCAGTGTTGGAGCACCTAGATCTGAAGCAGAAAGTAGCAGCAGTGATACTGTGGGATGGTCTGGTTCTGTGTGCAAGAAACAACAGTAGCATACTTGGAAACTGTTTGCTGCAAATAATCTGCAGCTCTTTACAAAACCGTACGAGTGGGCATACTGGACCACAAGAAAGATGTAGCTTAGTATCTGGTCTCTGGCCGAGGAAGACAGCAGGTGCCTAGAGAAAAATAGAATAGGGCTGGTCTTTCAGATTCCTGCAATTAAGGGATTCTCCCCAACTCCTAGCAGTCTTCTAGGAGCTGATTTCCTGAGGCTGTATCTTCATCCTTAACAGCTTTGATCAGTTTTTGGTCTGTGGAGTTGTTTGCTTTTTGAACTACATAATTTGTCATCCACATGGTTCAACATGCAGTTGTACAAATAGGCATGTAGAAATAGTGATTTAAGTTAAATTTATATACAGTTATTTAATATTTTTGAATATAGATTTCTAAACAGTTGTCGATAGAACTTGATTCAGCACGAGCGCAAGTACTGGAAATTCAAGGTCTTCTGAAAGAGAAAGAAAAAAATGAGCAACATCTCCAGGGAAAGCTGAGAGAGTTAAAGGAATCTTTTGAGCAGAAGAAAAAACATAGCGAGACACTGCAAGCTGAATTAAAAACTGCCCTTTTAGAAAAGGTAAGACTGGCCTCTCTTACTCCTTCAAGAAAATTAATGTAAATTTCTCTGATAAATGCTGCAGCTTTTATGTCAATATCTTTGTGATGTACAGATGTTTGCTGTAGTCTTGTTGGAAATGATAAGGTCAGGATATGGAAACCAGGTCTTCAGATGCTGTTGGAAATTGGAACAACAACAACAAATAAAGTAAAAAGAACCGGTGCTGAAATATGGCTTCTGTAGGAAATGAATTTCTGTAAAGTGATAAAAATGGCTAGATTGAATGTCTTTGTTTTGCTTCAGGAGCATGCTATGAGGCAAGAGCTGCCATTTTCTTGTAAAGCAGTAGAGTTTTCTGAGAGTGGTTTAGACAAATTTGCAGCGTTTCGGAACATCCATGGCAGTTTTAAACCAAGTCTGCTCTTATTATACCAAAAGAATTTATCTAAGTGACAGTATGAAACTCGTAAACCATAATGGAAAGAGTTCAAATATCTTACAACATTAGGGAATGTTGTGTTGTGTGCCATGCACTGTTAAATGTTGCTGCAGCTTTGGCTGCCCTACGCCACATGATCATATTTGTGCTTTAGTCTTTCTGTGGAAACTTTAGGACTTGGAAACATTATTTAGATTTTTAATGTTTGGTCTTAATGTCACTTAGTCTTCTGACATGAATTAAATTTTGTTGTTAAATTAGTTACAAAATATTACTGTAAAATCACAAACATCAGATTACTGAAGTGCTGTTTCATAAGTGGAAAAAAATTTTATCTTGCAGTAGAAATGCAGTTTATTGAAATGGTTAGGCTTGCTTTACTGTCTGTAACTTTAATTGAAACTTGCTATGCTTATGTTTCAGGCAGAACTGGAGAATAAACTGCAACAGCAGTCAATTTTGTCATCGCAGGAGCTTAAAGCAGAGAAAGTCAAGCTAGCAGAGTTACAGAAGACCCATGAAAAACATAAGGAAAACATGGAGAAGCTGCAGCTGGACCTTTAATGAGCTGCTGGCAACCAGGCAAGATCTTAAGGTACTTACAGTAATATTAATGTCATATGTGAGTTAGTAGATCTGTCTATATCCATTTTGAAGACCAAGAAACAGTGCAAGAAGTGTATAGGAGGAAAAAAGCTTTTCTGCCATATATAGATTTTAATGCTGTTCAGTCCCTTCCCTGCAGACAAAGGACATCCTTAAACTAATTTAAAGCCAAGGGTATGTACCAGCTTGCCTGAATTACACTTGCATTTGTGCAGCAGCAAAGTGAAAGATGATTTGTTTTTGTATTATTTTAAGAGTTAATTTTTTGCGTTGCTTCTTCTTGTCATATATTGTAACTTTCAACTAATATCAACAGTGTAGCTAATTAGGGCAAAGTCTCTGCCAGCAGGTGAGTAACCACCATCTTATAGATGATTTAACTAGAATTTTAGTTGTCAGTCTTTTCCCATGTCCTTGTCCCTTCTGCTTCTTCCTGGCTGATTGACAACACTCAGAGATACCAAACTAACAGAAAGAGTAGGTTTAGGGACCTGCCTGGAATACAGCTATCTGAACTTAGTCCTTGAAGTTTTTGCTGTTCCTAAGATGAATTTATCTGATTTGGTATTAGGGTGTCGTGCCTTCAAAGAAGTATTGCTGGGAGATGAGTCAGTCAGCAAAGGTGTTTTTTGTCCTTTTTTCTGCCCCTCTCTTCCATGTCAGTGCTAAGCCAATGCTCCAGTTAGTCCCAGGACATACTGTGCTGCAGAGACAGGCTGTCTACTGGCAAGATGAGTGGCTTTGGCACTTACCACTTCAGATGAATGCCGCTACAGCTTTGTCTGTGTCTGTCTGATACTGTTGTTCTAGGCTCTTCTGAAGTTTATGGAGAGAAATAGGCACTTTGGTTGGACAGATCATCTGATCCATTTTAGATGTCAGCTTCTGTTTGCTTTGTTATGTATAAAGGGAGCCGTTGTGTGGTGGTTTAACCCCAGCCAGCAACTAAGCACCACACAGCCACTTGCTCACTTCCCTGCGGTGGGATGGAGGAGAGAATCAGAAAAGTAAACATGAGGAGACTTGTGGGTTGAGATAAAGACAGTTTAACAGGTAAAGCAAAAGCTGTGCACGCAAGTACAGCAAAACAAAGAATTCATTCATTACATCCCATCAGCAGGCAGGTGTTCAGCCATTTCCAGGAAAGCAGGGCTCCATCATGCAGAACAGTTATTTGGGAAGACAAACGCCATCACTCCGAATGTCCCCCCCTTCCTTCTTCCCCCAGCTTTACATGCTGAGCATGACGTCATATGGTATGGAATATCCCTTTGGTCAGTTGAGGTCAGCTGTCTTGGCTCTGTCCCCTCCTGACTTCTTGTGCACCCCCAGCCTGCTCGCTGGTGGGGTGGGGTGAGATGCAGAAAAGGCCTTGACTCTGTGCGAGCACTGCTGGGCAGTAACAAAAACATCTGCATTATCAACGCTGTTTCCAGCACAAATCCAAAACACAGCCCCATGGGAGCTACTAGGAAGAAAATTAACTCTATCCCAGTCGAAACCGGTACCCATTGGTGACTGCTTAGATTTCAGAGCTCCCTTTCACCTGTCCCAGTGGAGGCCTTTTGGTCCCACCACTAAATTCGTTAAAGGTCATGTGGCTGTTTCAGATAGACCCATGTTAGCTGTGGAGTCCTAGCCAAGCTCCAAGTTCGGGGTTATTTTAAGAAAAAGATAAATAGGTCCTTTACATATAGGCCATTGGAGTTTTATTAATCGTGCTCCTGCTCTGTAGAGTTAGATTACCTGCCACATTTCCCTGCAGGTTGCAGAAGCTTTATTTATTAGTGTTTCTTGGTTGAATCACTATGTAAAAGTGAAGAACATCAACATGATTAATAAGCAAAGGTGATTTAAACATACTCTTTCTTATGATCAGTTACTATAGCACATGTATGTCTGTGAGTTAATTTCCTGCAATGCATTTAGATCAACATTTGGTAATACAATGACCTGTAAAAGCATCAGATGTGCTCAATAACTGGGTTTTTTTTGGTATAGTTTTCATTTAAGTGTTGCTTGTTGCAAAAATAGCTCTGAATAAGTGTTATTAAACCATTTTGATGACCTCTTGTTCTGGCAAGTGTAAAATAGGACAGTAGACATCCCATGTGCTTTTGAACCTGAATGGGGATGGTAGCAAAGGAGAGAGAGAACATCCATGCAAAAAGGTAAAATAAGGTGATCGCAACGGAAGAACAAGATTTTCAAGATGAGCAGTCAGGGAACTTGATGTATTATGTAAGTCTCTGTGGAGCCTAGAGAGCCTGAAGAAGATTGAGGTCCCCAGTACTGAAGTGATATACCAACTCAGAGACTGTTTGCTAGATTTTAATTTAAAAAAAACAAACAGTGTGTTAATTAGGATTAGTGAGGTCTACTTGCTGCCACTTTTTTTCTGTAAAATGTAGAAGAGAGAAAAGCTGGGGGGCAGATCTTTCATTGTGGATGTGCTGCCTCATTGCAATGTGAACCTGAAGAAGCAATAACTTGTCTCAGGAAACTGCAAAGGAAAACGCATGTTCAGAAAGCCTCGGCATGATAACGTTAGTCTTGAGACCTGAATAGCAAAATACCACTCAAGTCAGAAGAGCTTTATGGAGAAGTTTCATAGTCCAGTTCCAAGTTAGTTGTCTGCTTTATATTTCGCCTTAGGTGAGCTGATAAAAGTAGATCATTTGAGCCAGAGCTGTGGATTTTGGTTCAGGTTTGGAACTGAAGCCAGTGGACGGGCTGAGGTTCAGATTGGTCTTAATCTGACTAGGAGGCAGTAGTAGAAGTTATTAAAACTTGTATGTAAGGTGAGCTTCCATGTCTTTCAGTGTAGGATTTTTAATAGAGATACGAACTCCCTGCACAGCCGTGTGGAGTCAGCACGGTTTGAAGATCAGCGTTGTCCAGGAGAGGCATGGCCAGGCCCTATCATGAGATTTTGCCAATGCTAGCTTTTCTTTAATTAAAAATATTAAGGGAAAGCTGAAATATTCCCACGTTGGCGTAGCTATGAGTGAGGCCAAGGTTTCAGGCGTGAGGACAGATGGTACGGGGCCGTACAGCGGATGGCTGCGGTGAGTAGGGTGGTGGGGCTGATTCCTGGGAGGGGATGGCCGAGTCGGGCCGTACACAGAGCACCATCTGCTGGCATCTCTGCGGAATGTCACTGCTGGCGTGGCCGGCTCGGCTCCGGCTGGGAGACTTGAGGTGGGACTGAAAAGTGAGCAAAGGATTCGGGAAAGTTTTTGCAGTTGGAGATAGAACGTTCCATGAGGGAGAGACGCAAAGCGTTAAGCGAGTTATGCTCTCTGCAGCGCTTTCAGCGTGGCTGGAGAACGACAGGTCCCCTTAAAATCCTCCTTTCTGGTTCAGTAACAGAAGATCCCAGCTATGTAGCTGTAGCCAGATGCAAACTTGGTTCGGTGTTAGCAGAGGAGAAGTGAGAAGTGGTGTAATCAATTTGGAAGTGAGACGTAGTTATAATTTTGTGAATGCGCTTTGCTGCAAATTTACTTTGTTTTAAAAATGCACCGTCTATGACAGTAACTAAAGTCGCATGTTTTTGTCTCTGTGACAGGAAAAAGAAGTCGGGCAGGATTTTGGTGCTTGTAAAACCTACAGTTTTTGATAAAACAGAATATATATAAAACAAAAAAAAGAATACCATTAAATATTTTTGTGTATATAGATATACACAAAATACATTTGTGTGTATATAAAATACATAAATATTTATATATATACCCATGAAACTTTTTTTTTGTGAAGAAGGCAATTTTTATATAGAAGAGTTAATAAAAATGCAGAACTTATTTTTTTGCCTTGATTTTGAGTTAGTGCAAATACACTTTGTGTGAATCCCACTCTCCCAAGCTCTGCCAAGTATCCTTCAGTCTTGGCATTTGCACTTTTTGTAGTCAGTCCTGGTTTCCTCTGTGTTCTCAAAAGAATGTTTCTTTGCCTCCAATATTGGCATCGCTGTCAGTGTATCTTCAGCAGACATTCTGGGATGATATTCATGCTGCCAAACCTCAGGTCTGCAAGTCAGGAAACTAAATTGCCTACAGTCAGTCTAACTCTACTTCTTAAGAAGTGAGGTGGGATCAGGTTGGCATCTATGAATAATTTCATGTCTCTCCTCGTGGGCTGGAGTTGGAGGAGGGGGGAGAAGATGGGACATAAAGACTAAAATGCTCATTTGTAGACCTTGCTTAAGCAGAATGAGCAAGCCCAGGTCCTAACACCCAGCTAGTTCTGCTGTTGACACTATTATTTGCACTGCAGCAGCCCAAGTTGTACTGAATTAGACTGTGATATCTTCTTATTTTTTTATTTACTTAAACCTTATACTAGTCATCCAAAGATCTGGTTTTATTTACAAAAGTAACTAAGATTGCCTTCTTTTGTTCTGTATGTACCTTTTCTATGCATTCAGTTTTGTCTGCCATCCTAAACAGCTATGTGAGGATTGGGGGTATCTTGTTGGCAGAACACCTATCATAGTTTGGGAGCAATTGCAAAACTGAATGATAATTAAATAAGGTAAATGGCATCAGATGTTTTGAGAAGTGATTTTGTGTTAAAGATGTGGGCTCCTCAGCAGTCCAAAAGAATCAGGCTGAAGTACAGTCTCAGTGCAGACTAAGCCAGGAGCAAGGATAATAACTGGAACATTTAACCACGTGCCAGAAGATTTCTGCTCATTTTGAAAGGATGCTGCGAGGCACTTCTGAGCAAAGCAGAAAGGCAGGCATAAATAGCTAGAAGGTGCATTTACTGTAGAAATTCTATTGAATAGTTTCCCAATTAAGGTAGGTAGCATCATTATTAATCAGAGAACAATTAAGCAGCACTTGTATATGTAAGCTGTAGTATGCTAAATTGTATGCAAAATTCCAAGTTTGCTCTATCAGAAACTGCTGAGTTGTAGAAACATTTGTGCGTAATGCAGTGCATAGTATGTTTAATACTGGCTCCTCTTAAAAGGACGTTTACATTGTCTTAGCCTAGGTGTAGACACAATGAGATAACCTGTCCAGTGTAGACACCTGGGGGGAAGGGAGGGGAGCAATGAGAGAAGAATATCCCCTAGGTGAGGCTTTTAATTTGAGTATCACTGTCCACTTCATAGCCACATTTCATCATCCTGTGCTAGCAAATTGGATGTAATCACATTTCTTCTATTGGAAATGAATTTGAATAAAAGCTGTGTCTTTATTTTACCTCTTTCTAAAACTGGAGAGACTATTGTTTTTTTCTGTGAAGATGTTCTGTGAGGATGCTACACTTCCCATCCTTTCTCATTGCTAGGAAAATATGGTACTACACTGCTCACAGTGGAGCAGAGAGAGATAATTTTGCTTTCTGAAAGACCCACCTTGCTGCAAGCTTGAAATTGCAAATGCACATTGTATTTTGCTTAAAACATTTGCTGAGTTAACACCTTGCAAAGTGTTAAGTCATAAACTGTAATAGCTCAGAAAGCATATCAAATAATTTGTCTGCAAATTAATTTTAAAAGCCAGTCTGAGCTTTTTGAGAGCCAGTGGGGTTGTTGAAAATGCTGTTTAATCAGCAGTGTTCTATCTGTTGGTGTTTCGAACTAAGTCTGACTCTACAGGCAAAGCACTTCGGACATTACAAGGAAGGGCTGGGAGGCATCAGAAATCAATTTGGTTATAAATCAACATGGGAATTGCTAAAACATATGCATAATTAAGTGAAGTCAAAGTTGTGTTTTTATTGTTCCTTTTAAAATCACTAACCTTCAACAACAGGTTTGATTAGGATTTAATTGAGAGCTTCAAAAAGAATTTAGTTTATCTTGAAAGACTTTAAATCCTTAGTGGTGCACTGAAGTAATAAATTTATCACTAATAATAAATCTCCTCACTTCACATTCTGTATCTTAGCATCAAAAGTTTCCATAAAATACCAATATTTTAGCAGAGTGGAGGATATGAATTTGATATTTCTCTTTCTCATTGGTTCTTTGTGAAAGAACATGCTTCTAAGTGGAGCTAGTCTTTGCCTAAGCCAAAGGCTTTAAAAAAAATAACCTCCAGAATACTAAGTCAAGAAGAAGCCCAAAGTTTGATTTTTACTGTGACCAAGTAGAATGAGCCTTGAGTGCAAGTTTTAGGTTGTTTCTTGGGTTTACGCGACCTGTTGTAGAGAGATAAATCCAAGTTCTTTTCCTAGGTAATGGGGAGAGTTGCAGGTGAATTAAAATAAAATCTGTAGTAGATTTTGAATGGAAGTTTAAGTTTTGTGTTTAAAATGCTAATGCAGCTGAGACTATGAAATGTTTTGTCCTGATATGAACATTTTTAGGTTGTACATTTCATTTTAGGATTTTCAAAAATTTCATGATTGTTCTAACAGTAGCTTCATTGAGCCATTGGTAAAAAGTAGCATAGAATGACTTTTGAAATCTTCACAGTATAGCTTCACTGCCTCTTAAGTAACAGCTGTCTAGAGTTATGTAGCAGTTCATTTGCCCAGAGAATAGAATAAATTTGTGTGAGCAAATTCAAGTTCATTTCTTTTTCATCAATCACCTTTCATTCTCTGCCCTTTTGCATGTTTTTATCTTTTCTCTGTGGAAGGATGCAAGCTGGAATATGTACAGTAAGGTATTGCTGCTGGAAATGGTACTGGGGTAGTTTGTTTTTACTTAGAGTAACCTCATAACCTAAAAGTTTCTGTAACTATGCTTTGTCAGTGTTAGAAGCTAAATGTTGCATGCTAGATAATGATTTTTCCATGTGAGGAATTAAGTGACTGTTGAGTATCTGAAGCTTTTATACTGACAGATAATTTGCAGAGCTCTCTTTGTAATTAGTCCACAGAAGAAAAACTTGCTCTAGCTCAAGAAGAATTAGTTTCCAGCAGAAATCGAATTGCTAGCAATAACCAGCAGATTCAGGAACTGAAGAAAGCAAAGTCTACGCTGGAGCAGGATGCATCAAAGAAGGAGCAGCAGCTGGGCGAGAAGACCAAAATGTTACAGGATCTTCAGAATGACAGGGTAAGTGCCTCTGTCTTTTGAAATCTTCACACAGACACATCTACCCCACACAAGCACCCTTTATAAATATCTGTTACATCTCTAAACAAGTGGTATTTTGGGGGCCTGACACTGTTGTAGTGCATAGCAATGGCAGTTCTACTGAACCTCTTGCAGAGACTTTTAACAGACAGTTGAAGTGAATTTGGTTTGAAATAGGCTGATAATTTGTTCTAAGTGGTTCGACATGTGGAAAACATTTTTAGTTTTAAATCTAAAACTGCAAACATGATGCTAATTGTTTGCACTGTGAACTGTGGATAGCGATATGTGGCAGTTGTTTCCTCTTAATTACAAAGCTGCCAAGTAGGTTTTGGGCCCTGAATGTTTTTTGGTTCTTTGCGGGTTTTTTTTTTCTTTTTTTTGGTGAATTTCAAAGAAGTAACTTTTCTGGCACTTTTTATTTCCTTCAAGATTTTGAAAGAAAAAGACTTGGCTAATGAAAAGTGTAAAACAACAGAGCTCCAAGAAATAAGAAATAGACTTGAAAAAGAAAGTACCAAGCTGGGTGAAGAGCTTAGAGCCTGCAAGCAAGAATTTGAGAAGGTATATCGAGACAAACTAGTCTTCATGTAGTTGGTTATCTGATAAGAAATATGTGCCTACTCAGTAGATGTTACCTGAAATGGCTTTGCAAAGATGGTTGCTGTAAATACCAGTATTACAGGTAAGGGAACCAAAGCACAGATTTCGTTGAGGTTCTGAGCAATGCTGACTTAGTTAATGATAATGCTGGTTCCCAGTGTTCTTGGCCAGGTGGACCACATAACTCGTCTTAGCTTCAAGGTGGGTTGTATGTCCTGGCTTTTTTCCTGTTTCACCATAGATTCACTGTGCACACCCTTGCTTGACTATTCTGAAGTGCACAGAGATGTCCAAAAGTGCCTAGAATATCTGGAAAACTTCACATTCATGACTCATCTGGTACTTCTCAAGGATGTGTGGTAGAGTTGGAACTCCCTTGGTGTGCTGTGGTTTCTAAAATGTCTTTTAAAAGTCACACTCAGGGAAGAAACAATGTCAGGAGCCTCATAAAAGACTAACTCTCTTCCAGAGTCCTAACAATCAAATGAGGTCTCTAAACGGTAAAAGTTCGGAGGCTTTAATTAAATAATTTTTAGTCTTCAGTAAAACAACCTTTTTCTCACCACATTCTATGTATTTAATTTTTTAGTCTCTGTAGAAGCAAACACTCCTAAAAGGGCCATAGTTTGTGTTTTCCATATTATACTAGTAGGAGTTATATTTGCATCTGTTGAGCATACAAGGTTTAAGTTGCTGCACAAGTATAAATGAAGGTACAGTCCCTATACGATAATAAAAAGAAAGTAATGTGATACTTTAGGAGTTTCAGATGTTGCTTTGTTCTCCACTGTTTAAAAATGGTCTCATGTTTAGATAGAAGTCTGTACTTTGTTTCTGTCAGGCAATCTATGCCCATTACTTTCTTGGATTTTAGGGAAAGTTTGTTGTAATTTTTACCATTACTAAAATCTCTATTCTAAAGAGTAACATTTGTAAAGATGTATATAAAAATGTATACACACCAATGACAGCTTAATATTCATCTCTCCATCTCCATACAAGCAGACTGAACCAGAAATCGTCTCCTAAAGGCATCCATTCTGATTCCCTTCTCCTACCAGGAAGTGGATAGATATGCATCTATAGGGCATCTCCCATTCCTCAGGATATGTTCTGTTACTGCCTCTGGTTTGGTTTTGACTTGTGACAGAAGTTTTAATTTACGGAAAACTGGCAGTCCTATCAATCTGTTAGTACCTGTGTCCTGGCCTAAACCACAACAACCTGCCAGCTTGGCTGTGTAATTTTAAGGAAATCCATTCCTATAAATTTAACTAAGCATTCTACTTCAAGATTTTTTTATGTTTTATTGCAGAAGAACAAGTAAAACTAATATTTAAAACCGAATGTATCATCCTACTTGCTTAGCACATAGGGTAATTATTTATACGTTTAAGACTAATAGAAATGAGCTTTCTCCCATCTTGATTTTTACATTGTCATTACAACGTTTTGAACCTCGTTATTGCAACTAGAGAACAATGTGAAGTAGATTTTAGAACAGACTAAAAAATGACAACGGACGTATCTTTTCAAAGAACTGTAGAAAATAATCCATCAGAGCTTCCACTCTTTAGTAGAAACATACATTAAATTAATTTAAAAAATTGGATGTTGTTCATAATATAGATGTAAGTTTAAAATCTTTAATCATTAAAATCACTGATACTTTGTGCTATAAAATAATCCTTTCTTCCAGTGATAAAACTAAAATTATTGCTGTCCTCTCCTTGGAAAGAATTACAATAGTTTTGAATTTAAATCATTTACACTTTCAATGTTGCTACTTTAACTTTGAGATCTGTATTCTAACAGGAGGTAGCAAATCTCAAGGATGCAAAACAGCTATTGATTCAACAGAAATTAGAGCTGCAGAGCAAAATAGATAATATGAATTCAGCTCTGGAACAGGAGAAAAAAACCCATCAAGCTGTCAAAGATCAGCTGAAAAAGAGAGAAGAGGAGCTGAAGAAAGAATGCACTGAAATTGAAGCTAAACTGGTTAGTATGTTAGAGAGTATAAGACTGTTGTTTTATGAACATGCCTTTGGATTCTTTTAGGGACAGAGAGGAAGCAAAGAATTGACATCAATTTCACATTACATTAATTTTTAAATGACAAGGTCAGAAATCTGAGGCATTTAATGGTGTAGG